GCCCTAGTAACTCAATTCCCATCCAGGGCACACCCCGTCACGGAAGTTACAGTCATCCCCTTTTAGATACTCTGTCCAAGGACAGAGATTTTTACATTAACGGCCAACTTTCAGGAAGAACGCAGTGGAGGTTGACTCACAGTGGCTTCAGATGCCACTGCAAACCACAGCCTTCCGAGACTTTGTGCTCAGAAATTGAGCTCTAACACGCATTGAGCACGCGCTGGCTTCGGCTGTAACCCAAGATAAAATGATCTTTTCCTGAAGAAAAGGTAGCCTTTACCTTTCGCTAAATGTGGTCTGAGAGTTGCCAATTTCCAAAGCTAATTTTCTTTGGTGGCTACAAATTCAGAAGACATGCAGTATAGAAGGACTTTTAATAACTTAGAATTCTACTAAATGTCTATTAAAAGCACATACATGCTATACCATCATGGGTTTAAATAAATATCCTCTTTTGCAATTTTTCGTGTCAAGAGTGTTTGGGTTTTTATCTGAAAGCCTAGGAATGTAATGGAAAGAATTTTGAGGTAGGATGTGTTGAAACAAAATGTGTATACATTGTTGAATGTAAAACTGATGGTCTGCTCTATAAATCTTCAGCGAATTCACACACACACACACACACACACACACACACACACACACACACACACACACTTTCAAAAACAGAAAGCCCATGAGCAACCATCTAAGGTGAAATTGTTAAGTTTCTGGAGTCTGTAATGCCTCAGTTCTTGGCTTCACACTATGAAAAAATTCATACCGAAACCCGTTTTGTAATCCAAGTGGGTTTTCATGAAGGACTAGACAAGCTTCAGGTTTTACAGTCTCAAAGGGCCCAACCAACCACGCGGAAAAGAGCACCCATGTATGAGGATCTTGTGGGGGAACCCCGGAGACTGAGAGCATGTGGGCCACGTGGCTGTGCGCCTGGAGTAGGCCCAGAGCTAGCGCATGTGCACCCACATGGGGGAGGGGCCCCTCTTATTCTACCTGCCTCTGACCAGGAAGTAGGGTAAGAGCATGCTCCCGGGCTTTTATTCTAGCCCACACTCTGGCTGGGGGAAGGCATGGTTGATGGGATTGGTTGACCCCATTGGCTGAGTTAGGCCCACCTGGGTGATGTCATGAGCCTGGGCCTAGTTTGGCCCGCCCAGGTGTACCTCCCACCTGGCTCAGGGGCTTGAGTACGATCATGTTCAGTTTGGAGTCTTCATAGGTGTCTAATGGTTGCCCGATTCCTTTCCAACCTCTTCTATGGGGGCCTTTGCAGGCATGGGAGAGAAAACCCCCTGTCCCTAAGCTAGCTACCTAACAAAATTATTGGTATCTCCCCTACTAGAGGGAAAAAAAGTGACAGTATTGAAAGACACATGAAACATTTAGTCCAATGGACTAATGACACGCAAATATCTGTCTCCACAACCTAAGATCGAAAGAACTAGATGGTGCCTGGCTACAACTTCCAATTTCCCTCAAGAGGATCAAATTAGGAGGCCCTGGATAGAGTGAGAGGAAAATGTGGAACAGAGCTCCAAGTCATAAGAGAGACCAGGCTTGATAGTCTGGGCTTGAATAGGGACGTGTAGAGACCAGGCTTGATAGTCTGGGCTTGAATAGGGACTACACTAGAGACCAGGCTTGATAGTCTGGGCTTGAATAGGGACTACACTAGAGACCA